TATTTGATAGATCTTCTCAATCGAAACTAAAACTAACGAGAAAACGAAGAAAATCTGTACTAATTACGATTAGTCTTTCAAACACTGTCACGGTCATGATTTCCTTCGTTTAAACTTGATAAATAGTCAGTAATGAGTTTGAGAAGCTTGAAAGGTAAAATCAATGAGATAACAGTATTCTTCGTTCTTTATAATTCACTGCAGGCCCCAAAACCGTCCGCTCACATTGTGGGAGCTCATTTACAAGAAGTCCACTATCCAGTTAACACAGGTATGCTTTGAGTTTTGCAAAACTTTGAAACATATAGTTAGTGTGGTTTCATTTAATACGTACGAGAAAAGGAAAATCGGAACCTGTAATGCTCAAGCGAGTATTGCAAGTTGTGTCCAGCGCTGTTGAACATTGCAGAGTTCCCATCAAAATATCATCCGGTATACCTGTAACTGGCTTAGGCCCGTCCACTCGAGTCCGGAGGAATTTGAAAAGGCCAACCGTCAACACTAATCCGTCACCAAAATGCTCTTCAAACTCGAGGGAAAACAAAACATTTTAAAAACGGGGCCTTTTGAAAACAATGTAGTCACGATAATGATGTGATTTCCCCGCCCGAGTTTCTTCTTACACAAATCCAAAATGACCAGTGATTGTTGCTTTTTCAAATTCTTCGAGGGTAGTGTGGACGGAAAACATCTGATGCGTTTTCAGAATGTTTCAGTTTTCAGTTTTTATTATTGCACACTATTTACAGAAAAACAACTCTAACGTTAGATGGTTTACAATGATATAGGAAAAATGATACCTTTGTTTTCAAATTTCTCTGGCTTAGTATGGACAGGTCCTTGGACATCAATAGAGAAAACTGGCAAATGGGAAAACTCAGTTAGAGTAGGGGAGGGGGGAGGGGTAAAAACAACAACAAAAAAGAGCAATATAACATTGTTCCAGAAAAATTTAATTTACCTTTCAGTGATCACCGACTGGTCAATCAGCCACTCTCGTAGTCATCTTGCAGGTGGCATGACGTATCGTGACGGAAAGTTGACAGTACCCAGGGCTGGAAAGTACTACATCTATGTACAACTCTACATCAGTAGCCGCGGGAGAGTGCATGTTCTTGTGAACGACCATGACGTCATTACCATTCTTCAGCGATCGGCCATTTTGGACGCAACTAGGGGGAACGGAAACCCAGCAAACGCTGTCGGTGTGTTTGATCTCAAGGCTGGTGACACTATCTCACTGAAGATCAATTCGTGGGGAGCGCCGAGGAATGGCTCAGTCGAATTTTGGTTCAATGCCAACCACTCTTACTTCGGTGCATTCTTGATTTGAGCCTATAGTTAATAGCTTAGCTGAGGTCGTTGATATAAGCAATTGTGTTGCCATGTCTCTTGTCAAAGTCAGTGAAAGAGTCATAAATAAAAGAAAAAGATCAGAAACTCCTAATGAACGTATTATTTAAAAAAGGAGTTTTGCTCACATGCAAGTTTTATAACTGTGTTCAGGTTCAAAAACTTGTAAAAGTACTTCTTCCAAATGCATCATGACTCTATATTGAATACTCAGCATGCATGAATCAGTCATGTTCTAAAATTGCCGCTCTTATCCGGCAAAATAAATAAATTTCCGGCGAAGCAATTTGTGTACCCTACCAGCGTGCATTATAGATGATTTTCACTGTCACGCAACGAAAAAATAAATCGAAAACTATTCAGTGGACAAAGTCAAGAAATTGTAAGGTTAAAATTTAAAGTGGTTCTGAACCCTACCTACAGAATTTTTAAACTTTGCCAAAAGTTGATAATATAAAAAAAAATTCACCATGCCGTTTTTGAATTATAATCCCCTCAAGCTGTAATTAAGGATGTTTTTAGGAGGTCATACTGTTGCTATGGTAACCTATTCAGTGTCACGAAAATGATAACAACGTGTTCCCCAATGATTGGGTAGTTTTTTTGATACCGTGATTGTCGCATAAAGTGATAAAGAGTGGCTTTAACGACCCATCAAAATCTAAGTGCTGGAAACTGTTTTGAACGAAATTGCAGCATGATCTAAAGCACTAATGAATGCTATTTTAGCCGCCTAAACAGAAGTTTTTCTGCTGCTCTGCCAACAAAACTACTTGGGGACTTTTTCGGAAAATTTTGCGACGTCTTTGGACGCTTCAGATCAGACTTCGGAATGTGCGGGAGCAAAATCTTGTCGGAAGTCATAGGCCTGTTCCCGAAGTCATCAGACATTATTTTTAAAAAAGTAATAATGTCTGCCAAGAGATGTCTCGGCTGATAAATTTGCCACTTTGTCTTGTGTGAGAAACAATCAGAATTGTAAAAGTTCTTACTAATCTGGTAAATGTGGTGATGCCAATGCTAATTTCACAAAGTCAAAAACTTGATGAGTATAAAAGTATTAAGATCCGACCAAGGCTGACAAAAGACTTATGTCCAATTTACGTTAAGGACCCACGAACCGACCTTCAAGACAGGCAGAGTCAGGAATACGCGCCAAAATTCACAGCCGATCCAAGTTCTGCGTATATTTTTGAAACCTGTGAATCCGCTCAGTTTATATCGCAGAAGTCTGCAACCTGTGTGCTTTCTAAGGCAAAATCCGTCGATTCGCAACCCTATTCATTCCCCTCCTGGCCTGGAGTTTCCCGATCTCAGCTCCTAAAAGAACATGGAATGCAAAACGAGCGAGACGCGCGAGGCAGTCACTTACCCTGTGGTAATGTTATCATAAATTCCTAGAGCGCCAGCTTTACGCCGCCTTGCCGTGTCTCTCTCTCTTTTAGGATGACGTTGAATTCACACAAGGAATACTATTTTTATTTAAAGCTTCCTTTCAAGCGGCCTTTACGTTATTGCTTGATAAAGTACCTTGTAAGCCATATATTCTACGCCAGGTTTACGTCAACTACTGACACGCAGCTGCGCAAAAATCTTAAAGACCTTCAACGACATCCTTGTTGTAGAGTTAAGTTGCAACCGTAAGGAGATTTTCAAGCCAACTCCAATTTTCCTTAAATTATTATTTTTATTTCATGCTGTGTGAGCTAGTGAGAGCAGGTATACTGCACTTGAACTGTTTGCATTCCACGTGATACTTTCTCAGAGGATAATCTTGGTGAAGAGCTTCGCGCACAAAGTCCAAAAGTCAGGCTTGTTATCATTTATTGTTGATCATTGTATTTTATAAACTGATACGGATGGAAACTTAATATCTCTACAAATAATCAGTACACCTTCTGACGGTTTTGGCAGCCGTTTTGTCGAGTAAGCTCCAACGCCAGAAATTACAGTGTTTGTGTGGGAATTCCATGGCAAATAATTTTCTTAAGAATTGAATTCTGAAACATCTATGTATAGCAAAGTTAAGATAATACACAAGGTTTGCATTAACCAAATTCGAGGGATGTGGACGCTACATCCCTCAAATTTGGTCAATGCAATCCCTTGTCTAGCATCTTAACTTTGCTATTCATTTATTGGTGAGAATTCGATTTTTGGAAAATTATTACTTTGCCATCGGATTCCCATACACTGTAATTTCTTACGCGTGGTTTCAAAACCGTGATGAGGTCCTTACTTTCGTTTAATTCGCATAACCATAAGCTCTGCCCAAACATTTCTCAGAATAGAACGTAG